ATTCAAATATTAAATTGAAGATAAATGAGCAAATCACTTAAGTCACTTAAAGGTCATGCGGGACCATGGTTTTTGTAACCATGAGTGCATATATGGACTCAAACCTTCACACCTTCAAAGTATTTCGGAATTTATTTCAAGGAAAGTTCCATTGAAAGGCTAGTTCTACAAATGCCAACTAATTAAGGGTAGTTCTTCGGATTAGTTTAGCTAGGATAAACCCCTAATATAGGCCCTGGAATTGGCTTGCATGGGGATCGGTTCCACAAATTTAGAACGAGACCCTATCCTATAACAAATTGGATAAGATCGGTTCCATTCAGTTCCGGATAGAGCCTACTCAATACACATGGAAAAAGTGTTGAGACCAAATTAAAGAGGCCCTTGTATATAGATCAAAAAAGGGCCGTATGTAATGGCCAAAAAGGTTCAGCTCGATAACCTTTGCCACATGTACAAAACATTACTTTTCTGTCGAGTATCTTTCCAACTAAAACTAGTAATATCTTGGATGGCTAATATCACATTGGAGTAAACGCGAGGCTGAAGAAGATGCATGGATGAATTGAATCAGCCATTGAAACCCGAAAGTGCTATTCAGTCAAAAGTTTCTCTCTCTCTCTCTGTCATCCTATGATAATGACTTGCACTTCTAAATCCGATTTGGAGACCGAATCCCACCCTTTATTACGTGCTTTTTCTTTGACAGTAAAGTATCACTCCTTCATTGATTCACTTTTCTACTCACTTTTTCCTTGCACGCAAGAGACATTCTAAGTAATCAGAATTGCAAGCTATGAAGCCTACACTAAGTGGGATTTTAACCAAGCGTTCATAAAAGCATATACAGTCCATCCATCCTAGTCCCATTGTTCATTCATTTCCCTAGGCTGCATTTGATTTCCGTGGAAAAATCATCGATAATCAATGTTCGATGGAAAAGTCAGCTGATTACACAAAAAACAAACGCATTTATACGCATGTAAATGCGAACCTACGGCAAACAAAGTCTTAATGAATAGTGGGTCTCTGCTTTATTTTCTCTGAGGAATTTTATCGAACAGAAAATGGTAAAGGGCTTTGGCGTTTATCCAATAGAAAAAGGCTATGATTTAGCCCTAAACTTGCAACATGAGAAAAGGCCCAGACAGAGAAAAACACATACCTAACCCCTAAAATAGGATTCCTAGCTCATGTCTAGACAACACAGCTCTAATTCTCCAACTTTAGAACATAAATGCGCCATGATCCAACACAAAGGCTGCCACATGGGAAGGTGCCCTTTATTTTTTAACTGTCTGAAACAGGCCATGACTCATGAAGGGATTCATGCCAAAAGACAAGGTGGGGAGTGGGACAAAGTTGTTAAGTGCTATGTATCTAATCCCATTTCCATGTGACCAGCACCACAATCTCTCCCCACTGAAAGCAACAACCATAATTGAATCATTTCTCAATTAAGAGGGGGATCAGTTTTGATAATTTATAATCATCTCCTTTGTTATATGTTGAGTTGTGCCTTTGTTTTCTTTACAATTGGGCGCCAATTTGATCAAAGTTGAGTTTGAAAATTAAAAGAAATCTAAAGCTCTAGGCAGACAAATCTTCTTTCATGTATTTTGCCTTTTAGCCATGATATCACAACCTTTTTTTTTCTATTACAGACTAACAGTTCTCTTGGACAAGTCTTCATTTGCAAAAGACATCTAGAAGTATTGGGAATTTCTTGAGGTGGTATCCTGAAAGTGCTCCACATGTTTGTCTTAGTAATAGATTCTCCATCCATGGGGAAAGTAAACTGTAAGACAAACGGGTTATAAAAGTCCACAAACCCAGGTGGTCCAACATGGGCCCGGACCAAAATTGGCTGGTCCAAACCCTTGATAAAAAAAAAAAAAAAAAAAAAACTTAGCCTTTTGAGGTGGGGGTGATTCACACCAACCAAGTATTAGAATATTCTAGAGAATTCACTAATAAATTAAAGAGAAAATAATGTAAATAGAGGCCCGATACCCATATGGGGCCCAATACACTTAGACCCAAATACCCAAAAGCTGATCCCACACTGGAGGGTATGTAAGCAGTCTGATCCCATATTGGTTCATTTTGTCATTTTTTCTTTGGATCTTCGAAGATCTTACCATGGTTTTAGAACAGCAGTTGATTTGGACAGTGGGACCATTCAGCTTGGGAATTGTTTAAGCAACTGATTTCGTTTTGACTCTAAATTTGGTCCTTGATTAAAAATCATTGAATCAATCAATGACATGTTGATTCAGGCAATCAAACCGTTTAATAATTTTTGGTCATTTTTAATTTAATTATTTTTATTTTTTTTAATTTTTATTATTAAAACAAATCATTCGTTCAAACCAGAAAGTTGAACAGTTGACCCAAAAACCAATGACCAAAACGATTCCATTTCCAATTCATTTTTTAAAACCATGGATCTGACCTGGTTATAGAATCCACAGTCTAACACAAACAGCCCCACTAATGATGCTTGATTCCACCATTCGACGAGCTAAAGTGGGAGCTGAAGACAATGGCTATTTCCAGATTGGGTTCCACACCTGACGTGTCAAACAGACGGGGTCCAATAGGTGATCAATACTCAAAAAGTCTGTCGAGGTTGTCTAATGAAGGAATCACTTTACACTCTTGTAACAAGAACATGAAGCAAAAGCAGAGAGTAGAAGTGCCAAATAGCAAAGGAAAATATGGTACAGTTCAAAAGATATCCACGAAATTGAAGACCCCAGAAATCATAGTACATGAATGAATGATCGAACAATTACACATGTTACTTCGATTTCTTTCATTTGTTTTAAATCAGAACAAACAAAGTAAACAGAACAAATTCCTCCCCAGTTTCTTCTTGTATTTGTTATTATGCATTAAAAGCTTTTCTTTATGTTTACGTGTGAGATCGGTGTGGCAGTCTCTGCTTCATTCTCTCATATCCCCCTCACTGCTCATGACAAGAGAATGTTCTTTCACTTCTTCAATGTTTCCACCAACCTATCTAAACGCGGTTTACCATCTATAAACAACTACCCATTAGCCACGTGGCTAACTTTGAATATGCATGAGGACAGTACCATCTACAAACCTTAAACTTTGTCTACAAAATGCTCGTGGAGAGAGAAAGAGAGGACCAATAATACATCGTTCCTGCTTCGGATGTTGTACAGACTGCATGTGCCATGCAATACAGAGAGAGAGAGATTTTGTCTTCTACTCTTCTCTTTCCAAATGTACTTAAAACGAAATTATTTGAGATATGGTTCTATCAATCACATGGTTGTAGGGTCAAACTAAATAAGCTGTCGTAGAGAAAAAGGTAAAGATCATTGGATCTAGTTATGGGACTCATCATATAACAAGGCCCACGTAGTTGAATACTTGAATGGACCCAACCAATACCAAAAGAGGTTATGGGCCTCCAATTCGTATGGTGACGCTTTGGCATGGAGCTGGAGCCAGGACCCAGGAGGTGTTTTGTGGGTCTGACTTGGGCTCCACGCGGCCAATCTTGGCCTGGCCCACCCACTTGTCATCTCCATTCTCAACAACCCCCACCATGTTATTACCATTAGGTTATGTTTGGTTTGATAGAAATTAAGATGGTTTGAGGTTCTATCGTCACTTATTTGCAAAATAACGTTAATTTATTGCATTTATTCTGAAATATTATTTAGTAAATCATTTATTAAATAAATATTTGTTTAGGTCAGTTACCAAAAAAAACATTTTTAGATTTATGTAAGAACCAACCATTGAGAAAAACTTTATTTTAATGTTTCTCCCAATATTAAAGCATTTTTTTACTTTTCAGCTTATGTGGCACCTAATGGCGTATATGCTGCCTAATCGTCAAACAATATATCGTTAATTAACAACTTTTCTCATTTTCCAAGATAAATCCATACAAAACGTTTATTAAGGCGGTGTTTGGCATTGATGTCGTTGCCTCAGAAAACAGCTCCACATTGGTGCCACCAAGAAATTCAGACTTGTTTGGGACCATTGTTCCAGAAAATGCAAAGAAAACGGCCATGCCTTGGAATTCGGGAAGACGTGGTCTGAGATAACACCAAACTTGGCGTTTTCTCATTTTTGAAACTGTTGCATCCAATGGTTCAATGGCGTGGCACCAATGTGGCATCAGCTGAAGCATTAGATAATGTAGACCTATGCTGAAAACAGGTATACGGCGCTGGTACCAAACAAAATCAGTGTTATTTCCCCAGAAAACATCCTATGTAGCAGCATCGATGCCAAACCAAAAAAAAAAAAAAAAAGAACTGTTTCCTCAGAAAACGGTGCAACAGACCCTCATCCATACAACACTGTTTTCTCAAAAAATGGCTCTGAATCTACGGCATCAATGCCAAATACCTGCTAAATAAACGACCACACAGTACCAAACATCCCCTAAGTGAATTCCCTCAACTTTCTCTTATTTCCATCAAACCAAACACAGCCTTAATAGCTTCTTTTGACAGTTCAATTTCTCAAGACGCTAGTCAAACAACACTGGCTCTGATCTGATTGACAACCTGTACATTTGGGCCCAAACCCAAAACAAAGCGGGCCTGGGTGGGCCTTGGTTTATCCCCAAGTCGGTGGACGTTTGCCGTTTGGGGATCTGTCATGTACTCATCATCACTTAAATAAGGACATAAAGCCCAACCCATTATCCATGGGCCCATGGCGTTAAGGCTTTAGATCTCTTTGGTGGGGTCCAATAAACGAAGATAGGAGGTACACAAACTGATCATCAGATTCCCCTATATAAGCCGTTGAATCGGAATCTTAATTATTCCTCCATTTCCAATCGGACGGTTTCTGATTACTAGAGATAAACTTTTAATTTTAATTTTTTTTTAATTTTAATTTTCTTCAAGTTTACCTTCTACGATACGCCGTTAACCCGTAGGAGGAAACAAAAGGCTTGCGGGCGGGAAAAGTGAAGGAGAAAAAAGAAAATAAAAGCCCAGAAAAGCGAAGTCCTCGTCGCTCAAAAGAGATTTAAGAACTCAAAAGAAATCATCTCTCTACGCCGGGCTTCGCCATTAAAGATCAAAGAGGTGGAGAGAGGAGCTTCCCGAAGAAACTTCTTCGTTTCTCTCCACGGATCCGAAGGCTGAAACGCTGAGCTGAATCACTGTTAACAGGTACGTTCATATCAAATCTTCCTGACTCCTCGGGAAAACTTCTGTTAGAACCAATTCAACGGAATTCGATTCCGTCTCCTGGTTAAGATCAATTCTCCCTCTCCTTTTCTGATATGGAAGCTTCAGAGTTTGATCCATTTGTGAATCTGTTTTGAGATTGATTTTGCTAGTCTTCGACTGCAAAATCTAGCTCTGAGCGTTAGTTTTTTCAGGTCTGAATTTACTTCTTTCTTTATTTCCATTTCTTTGTTATCGGAAAAATGGAACGACCTTCCTGTATAAACAAATGGATCCATAGTCTTCTGCTTTTTGTGATATGCTCTCATCAATGATCAACCTTCTAACAAAAGAAGAAATGCGATGACATGCTAGGCATTACTGAACCTGCATGAACATCTGATCTTTACGATTTTAAAGAGATTGTTATCTCATGTGATTCCCATTCCTGTATAAATTAATTCTAATTCCGGTAGAATGAATGAATTAGCTATAAAACACATTATCTTTGAGAGATAATGTTTTACGCTTTTACTTCAGTTTTAAATAAAACTGTTGAAATAATCGGTGTAAATAACGAAATGATGGGGATATTTCGCTAGAGAGAGAGAGAATGTAGGGATTACTCTTGTGGAGGAAGGAAATACTGAAATAGTAAAGAGTCTGTTCCTGTAATCCGATATGCTTGTGGTCTTCTACACGGATACGAACTCTTTAGATTCCCTTTTTAAAACTTTAAAAAGTAGGCATTAGGTTTATAGGTTGGGTCTTGATCTGGTCCATAACTACTGTCCACGTGCCTCGTTCACAAAGATTCGAGTCCCACCATTGACTGGGCCCAAAATCAGCTTCAACTGATTGTGGATTCATTCAATGGTGGGTCCTGTGATCCACCAAAATTTTGCGAGTGTACAAGCAATAATACACCAAACGAGATGTAACACCTACCACCATCACCACCAGAGATATCCACCACATCTGCCTCCTTTTGATCTGGATCAGCACATGGTGTGAGCCCTTCACCCTTGCCTGAGAAGAATTCGCATGCATGGGGCTCCCCACTGATCGCGACCCACTGCACATCCCAACCGTGCATTGGGAACATCTCCTCCCCAAGTACGGGAGATATTTCCATTGCACGCTGAGATGTGCATGTGGGGCGCATGTGTGATCCGAACTCACATGAGAATTGCTCCGGGGAATTTTTCTTGTATCACCAAGGTAAGGAAACTAAATGCGACGGGATTCTCTCCAAGTAAAAACTCTGCACACAATGCACGGCTCACGACTGGATGCCATGTGAACATACTTACTGATTACATTTTATCAGTTGGATGATCCAGATGCCCAAAGCAGGTTGGGTTCACACTGATCGCCTCAGTGTTTCTAGCTTAGCTCATTCAGTGTTTCTAGTTTAGTTTAACTCTGAGAAAGGTAGCTTTGGTGAATAACTGTTTATGATGCCTTTTCAAGTAATTTGTTTTATTGGCTTCCATGGCCGTTCTTTGTGATTTATTAATTATTTACTAACAGCTTGGATATTTCCCCAGATAAAGAAGAGATGGAGGATTATGAGAGCAGTAGGAACGAGAGGTTGGCGGAGTTGATGAAGGAGTCATGTTGTAGCCAGTTCTACATGGGCCCCAATCCCTGGATGGCCCGGTACGTCTACGGCCTAATTTTTCTGCTTACGAATCTATTAGCCTGGGCGGTTCGGGATTACGGACAAAGCGCATTGACCGAAATGGAAAGTAAGGCATACATCACCTCCTTTTCCTGCTTTTTTAGTGACTGTTCTTCATTTAGTTTGGTTCTGCTGATTTTAGTTCGCATAGGTGCTTTTCTTATGGGAAAATTTAGTGGGTTGCCATTATTTAACAGTAAAATAAATGAGGTGTACCACCTCCGAAATGTTACAAACGAGAAGACTCCCTCTTTTACCTTTTGGAAGTTGGAATCCCACAAAGAGATTCCTTTCTTACTACCATTCCTTAGTGATATATTAGAATTCCTTTATTAAATAAATTAGAAAGAGGGAATGTTGGGACCCGGTTAGCACCTATCAAAATAATGCATTTTAGCCATAGGTTCTTTGTTTTTTAATTGTTATTTGTGCACCAATAGGTGGGTATTCCTTAAGAGACATCTATACCAAAAATCAGCATCATCAGATCATTTTTCAACCATTTTAATCTTTGATGTGTCTATGAGCATTTGGAAAGCTCTGTAGTCGGTCCTACTGAAGACACTCGGGATCTGTTGCTCGAACCATTGCTCTTGCTATGTAACCAATCTATACCGAACACTGATCTGTTCACTCCTGATTGGTCATGCAAAGTGATTCAAAGTAGAGCAAGTAGTAGATCCGGGCTCTTACGCCCAGCATTGCTTAGGTTTAATTTTTTTTTTTTTTCAAGCAGGTACAAAACTTGATTACAAGCCGTTAATTGAATTCTGGGGAGGGCGTTTCATGCCTTCATGGAATGAGCGAGAATAAACTCAATTATAAAAACTATCTTTGATCATGGCAGGACTGACGCTGAGCGTCAACCTGAAAAAATAAATTTCAACTTTAATGTAATGCTGGATTGGGGATTATGGATTTGGGGGATGGGCTATGTTGCTCATCCGGTCATCCCTAATAAAGAGCAACACGTTTTTTCGTCAAAAATGATGCTCATAAATCTAGGTTCCACCATTGGTGGCTTTGGCAATAGGGACATGAACTGAACACCTAGGTACCTATGACCATGATGTCTGCAGTACCCCAGATAAAGACGAGCTTTAATCAATGGAATAATACGAAGCGATCGGATCTCTTTTTTTCTCTTTTTTTTTCTGTGAACCTTATGTTCAATTTCAAAGAAATGTAGATGATGAGACATTTAAGGATCCTAGAATCATGATCATCCATTTTACTTTGAGTCTCTCGATAAGGGCCTATTGGTTGATCCTATTCGAACAGAATGCCCTTTTTAAGGGCATCATCACAAAATTACCTTTCTGAAAGGGACCCTGCACCCTCTTTTAGTTGTTCATGGGAAATCGGGAACAATTTAACTAAGTATATTATCCAAACTCCAATGAAAGAAAAAAAAAAAAAAAACTACAAATCTCCTGGTCACAAAACTCTATGTCCCACGACACACTGCTCCCTGTGCATAATATTATGTAGTAAGATCTCATGTGTGGGTGCCTTGTGATGTAGGTAGAAGTGGGCAGGAGATCCAAATTCGAAAAAAAAAAAAAGATTATCCAAACAACTGTTCAAAAAAAGAAGGGTTATTCCATCAACACGATTAGAATCATCCGAATATATATGTACTTCTCAAATGAAAAAACGGGACCTACTCACTTTTCCTACCGCCCGCCATGAATTACAGCCACATATGTGATTGCAGTTCACAACGGGTAGAGAATCCGTAGAAAAAGTGAGTAGAAAATCTGCATTCTTCAATTTCACGTGGGGTCTTATCTGTTCTACTCGGCTAACGGAAGATGTTTTCGGATGTGGGTGCAGGACTAAAAGGATGTAAAGGTGGTCGTTACTGTTTGGGTACAGAAGGCGTTCTGCGAGTTAGTCTCGGTTGTTTCGTATCCTTCATTCCTTCTACAATTAAAAGATATTTTAAAGCTGCGAACTCACAGAAATGCCCCTAATTTTTCAAAAATTACCAAAATGCGATAACTGTCCAAAAATAAGAAGTTTTGTAGATAGGATAGGAGAAACTGATCAGAATACTCGGTGAAGATTTTTTACTTAATTATTCTTATTGACATTATGAAGTACAACTCAGTTAGGTCCTGTGCAACTTAAACTATGCACCTAGCCACCAATACAGCTTCTTGACAACAAAAATGGCAAGAAATAAACTCAAGTAATCATGGTTTGTGTCAACATGCCTCAACCAATGTCCAGTAGCCAGGCAGAAGAGTCATAGGAGGTGTCCAGAAGTTCATGACTGTAAAACCTGGTATTGTCTATAGTTGAATTCCCAGTTTGGCGATCTGAAACTGAAAATTGTGATGTTGCAGCACCATATCATATTGTGATGTGCCGGTGAAAGTATATTTTAAAAATTGGTGCTTCGGCAGCGTTGCACTTGTTCAACTGTGTGCAACTATTGTTACTATTCCTGTTTTCAGTAAGTGATCCTTAAATTTTAATTAGATATTCTATTTCACAATGTTTCTTTCAACGGCTGGTACAAGAAAGCTGAATGAGCGTAGTGATTCATGGCACTCTGGATGGTGGTCTGCTAAGATCCTTGTGTGGATTGCATTGCTCGTGCTCCCATTTTTTGTTCCAAATGCACTTATTCAGTTCTACGGTTAGTAATATTGCCCTAATCCATCAGCCTCCATCTCTTTTATATTCTTTCTTTTGCTTATCATTCTTTCTTCTTTTAATCACAACGTTTGAAGATCTTTTAGTTTCTTGTATTATACATTTCTTATTACCACTTCACTGAAGCAGTAGTACTGTTGCAGGGGAGATAGCACATTTTGGTGCCGGGTACATCACTCTCTTGTTAAATTGTCTTGTCTTCTCAAACCAAGTAAAATCTTATTAGAGTTTGCCTGTGAAATTGAACATATGGGCTTCTATTCACTGTCATCCAGTAACTTTCACTAATATTGCTGAGAATCTTTCCAATTTTGTTGCAAATTATTTTCCCAGGGTCTTCCTCTTGGTTCAACTCATTAGTGTGATCAGTTTCATAACATGGCTCAATGACTGCTGTCAGTCAGACAAATATGAAGGTAGATGGTAAGGTTCTCCCTCTCCATAATATAGTCCCCTAGTCCAATTATATCTGCATTTTTTGAAGTGTATTTTCACAAGTATAGTTGAGTTGAAAAATGACTAGTTGTCAGGGAATCTTTTAAGTTTCTGGAAACTACAATAGGCTTGTAAAGAAATTATGTTAGAAAATTCTTTGAAAAGCTTAATCATGGGCGCAACTCTTTCATCAAGTCATGTTTTAGAAATATTTAAATTATATTGCTAAATTTACTTGAGATCTACCGTTTGAAGTTAATCTCCTAGGATCCTCTATTGCAGTCGTATCCAGGTAATATTACTTTCAGTTGCTGCATATATTGCTTGCATGGTGGGTGTTGTTTTAATGTATATATGGTATGCACCAATGCCATCTTGCTTGCTTAACATCTTCTTCATCACCTGGACACTAGTACTTCTCCAATTAATGGCCTGTGTTTCCCTCCACCCAAAAGTAAGTTTTGGTTTTTGGAATCTACTTCCCAGTCATTTATTCATGTTCCGCAGGATTTTGCATGTATCCATAATATTTTTACTTGAACAGGTAAACGCTGGTTTCTTAACCCCAGGGTTAATGGGGCTTTATGTGGTATTTATCTGCTGGTGTGCCATTAGGAGGTATGCGTTCCAATAATATTAAGCACTCCTTTGTTTGATATACTTCAGTTAGGGTTAGTTCTAGACCATCAGTTAGCTTGATGGTCGAACCAAGGGGAATGCTACTGAAACATCAGTGGCACCATTCAAGCGATCAGCCCAAGGGAAAAAACACCAGGAACTTGTATTGAGCGAAGTGTTTCTGGTGCATTGTCCTTTTTGAATATGCAAAGACGAAAAGGCCCATTTTAGCGGCACCACTTGAGTTTCCTAAGCATTTTCCAATACCATGGAAGTGACTACACAAAAGATTCTTGCTTTTCTGCAAAACAATTGAACGTAGTACTCTTTTGCTCAATGGTACCATAGTTGCTTTTTGCTTGTTCCTTTTCGAGAGAGAGCAAGAAGAATCAGCATAAAACCTAGTTTATTTATTTATTTATTTATTTATTTTGCTTTCTTTGTCTTTCTCCTCGTTTTAAGCTTGATTTTAATGTCCATGTTTACAGTGAACCACCAACAGAGACTTGCAACAGAAAGGCAGAAGCTGCAGCCAGGGCAGACTGGCTTACAGTCATAGTAATATTCTGAATCCGCACTTCCCATGAAAACTGAGAATAGTTGCAAGCACAAAAGAAAAATAAGATACCATCAGTAATTTGCAATAATATCCCCATCTCTACTAATTTCCAAGCAAACTGATGAGTTAATTCTGATATTCTGTTCAAAACGATTTTCAATCCTTGGAAAGACCTGGAGCTTTCGGTTTTCCCATAGGAGCAGCAATATGGTTCTTTGCCCTGCTATCTCCAAAATACCTGCATTGACTTAGATGTGGTATTAGCAGAATATTTTACCAAATTTGAGATAAATTGGAAAAGCTACAACTGTAAAAGATATAGCTGACGACCTACAAAAAAAAAAAAAAAAAAAAAAACGAAAAGAAAATCCCTTGCACAAAGAAGAAAATCAATAAATGGTTATTGTTTTCAACTTGGAACTTTTATGCATTCTTTACGAGGTGGAGGTTTATATTGCCAGAATTTGTATACCATCATTTTAATACTTAGCCATCAACACTTTGATTTTTTATATCTAACGATGGATCTCAATGTGGTGGCAGAGCTTTGTTATTGCACTACTTGCAATGGTTATAGCAACATTCTCAACTGGGATAGATTCTAAATGCTTCCAGGTTCGCCCCATTCATTAACAACTTCCTGTCTAGTTCATTACACTTCCAATGAGACATATCTGACAACAACAAGTGCAGTTCAGGAAGGATGAAGTGCAGGCTGCAGACGATGTTCCATATGGTTACGGATTCTTCCATTTTGTTTTTGCCACAGGAGCCATGTACTTTGCAATGCTATTGATTGGTTGGAATGCTCACCACACCATGAAAAAGTAAGTATCCAACAGATTTCTTTTGTTCAATTTCAAAAATGTCCCACTTCCAGGTCATCAGAAGTCTAGTTTGAAGAAGAGGAACTTATTTTTATACATTAGCTCCTTGATCAACTTGTGCAAGCTTTTTTTGATGATAAATTGGCCAATGTCTCTTGAGGAAGGAGGATGGGTACAAGTCAACGTTACCCATTGTTGGGGAAGAAAACTATTTTCAACTCTATATTGAGGACAAGGAAAAATAGAAAAACAAGAAACAGTTTTGTCAGTAATATATGCTCCAAAGATTTTAAATCATTTTCTTAAAAGGACAAATGGAAAATTGTCATGTGCTCTGAATCCCCTCAGAGAACTGTAATTGCTTATCTTGGTATAGGCATGGATGGAATGAACACATGCATACATGACACATAGGTATGATACCTGATCCAAAGTGGTGGCATGAGAAATGGCAATGCAATGGTTATCTATTAATCGGTTCCTGCTACCACAATGAAAACATTCAGTACTCTATAATTTCCTGCTCGCAATTAATTGGTCCCTTCCAAAACTGAGAGTTAAATTGAATGTTGAATAAGAAATAATGATCCTTTTGCTTCTTTACTTGTGTTCCCCTATGTATGTACAACTTATAAACTCAAATATGCCAAAAGGAAGAATAATTCTATCATGTTGTTCCTGGTAATCAAATAAAAACCTCTCTTTCATGCAGGTGGACAATTGACGTAGGATGGACCAGTACCTGGGTCAGAATTGTGAATGAATGGTTAGCAGCTTGTGTCTACAGTAAGTATTGATCTAAAAGGTGCCAGATGTTTGTGCACTAGAATTCTGGTTCTCTATGTCTATACCATTAGTATTATACTTATTAAAAGAAGTTTTTGTCACAGTATGGATGCTGCTTGCCCCACTTGTTTGGAAGAAGAGACAGTCAATGGAATCTACTTGAGAAGTTGGAATTTGGAAATGCATCTTAATTCTTTCCTCTTCATTGCCTTTCATTCGGTGTTTACTGCAATCAATTCAAATTAGAAGCCATTTTCTCCAGGCACTTCCTGCTCGCTCACAAGTTAAAAGAGAACCCATGCTGCCAGAGAAACACGCATATACATGTTCTCTGAATTGGTTTAATGGTCAAATGGACATAGAGATCTGCAACTTACTTGAGCTAAGCATCTTTATATTTGTAAATACACTTGGAAGCCCCAAGGTCCTGCACTGTAAAAGAGCTTAGCAGTTTTCTTTCTTTGTCATTAATTAAAAGGCACAGCTTATAAGTGTTCTTACATTAGCTTAGCATCCTTTCTATGTTTTTCTTTTTCTTTTTTAAACTAAGCATTCCTGCAGGTGAGGTGAAGAGTGTGCTAAGAAAGCTCCAACTTCTACTGTTGCCTATTGGAACTACAGGAGATCCATCTAGGAATTATGGTAATACATGCTAATTTCTTTCAGTTGCCACATAGATATGACAACAAATGTTATCACCAAAACACCATAGAGGAATTACAGAAGGGCATGCAATTTACTAGAACACGATGGATTTTAGCAAGGTAAAAGTGTAATACAAGGAGATCCTGTTTTCCCAGGCAAGCATAGTGCTAGCTTTACATGAAGGATAGGTATTTTATCCAATAAAACAGAAGATTTGGAGTCAATTGGTGATGCCACGAGAAGTAGAGAAAATAGCAGAAAAAGGAACAAGTATGCAAAATACAAGAATTTATATGATTTGGTAGATAGGGCTGCAAATGGATCAGATTTCATCCAATTTGAATTTGATTCAATTAAATCGGATTCAGATAGCCATCTAGTCATAACCCATAATCGGATCAAGTTGGATTTGAAAATATGATCCATTCATTAATCAAGTCGACTTCAGAATTGCTTGACCCAATCCAATTATGCATATGTATATACAAAGACCATTTTTTTTAGTGTTAGTTAGGTGGAACTTGAGATTTAGATAAACCTGCTTTTTCTATTTAAAATTTTAAAGTTTTGTTTTATATTAATTTTATAAATTTACACTAATTTCATACAAATTTATTGACAATCAGATGTCCAGATGCGTAAAAGAATCAAGTTCAAATTAATTGGTTGCATAGGCATCAGATAGAAAGAAATTCAGGTCTATCATATTCCTATCAGATCAAATTTGGATTAACCCAATTTAATCTATCAAAAAAAATGGATATAACCTTATCCAAATTCGGCCCTACTATAAATTACCTACAAAGATAAGCATAATACACTCATGTCCAAAGAGATTATAACAAAAAATCCAAATGTCAATGAGCCAAAAAGGAAATCTTTTCTAATGAACAATGCTTTATCCATCAAGTAATGTCATTCACAAGAAAAAACACACTAACATCTCATAGAAGGATCCTTACAACAAAAACCTGAAACATGAGATATGAACGGTATAAAAAAAAAAAAGCCAAAGGTATTAATCAGGGGATATCCAAGTAGAGAACCCAAATAACTCATCACAAAAGACCTCTTATAGAAGATAAAAGCTATATACCGAATTGCTAATGAATAATATTCTAAAAGTGTGTGTTTAGAAATGTAGGACATTTTTCCTTGTATCACAAAGGAAAAACAAAAGAAACCTAGTACATTTTCGCTGAATTCAAAGCACAAATCCTAATAAACCATATACTCATATTTTTTCTCCAATAAAAAACATGAAAACACTGATGATCATGCCATGCTAGCTTAACTTTCTCTACACATGGAGCCCAACCGAAAATTTGCCTTTGTTCACACTCTTATAACCACTGTGTTATAGGTGGGGAAATGTGAAACCCTAGAAAAAAGGGCAAGTGAGGTCCAGGAGAGGCATGAGGGGTTTTGCCAGTTTTATGGAGAGATGGGAGTTAGTGGATCTTCCTTTGATTGGAGCCAAATTCACTTGGACAAACAATCAGGAGGATGCAACCCTCGTGAAGTTGACCGTTTTGTGGTGTCTACTGAGTGGGAGGAGAAGTTGCCCTTCCGAGATCTTTATCGGATCATATTCCCATTTGCTTGGATTACGGTGGCATTCAATTCAAGCCAGCGCTTTTCAGATTCGAAAACTTGTGGCTTGAAGAGGAAGGTTTTGTGGAGCAGCTGAGAAGTTGGTGGGAAGGTGTTTCTGTGGAAGGAACAGATAGTCATGTGTTTGGCAACAAGTTGAAGGCCTTAAAGGAGCAAATTAAAATCTGCAAGGACTCTTTCAAAGGGGTGGAACAGAAACTGAAAAGTTGTTTAGATACAATAGTCGAAATCGACAGAGCTAAAGAGGAGAGGCAGTTAGCTCAGGAAGAAAAAAGGAAGAGACAAGGAGCCAAACTGGATTTCGATAAAACAGCCTATCAAGAGGAGACAAAATGGAGGCAGCGTTCCAAATGTTATAACAAAACAAAGTTTTTTCACAAATTAGCTAGTGCTAAGATAAGGGAAAATATGCTGAAAATTTTGATGAGGGGTGATTTGGCCCGACCTAGGAAGTAAAGGACATGTGGATATGACCTGCCAGTAGGACGACAACTCAGTAAGGAGAGCCTTGTCAGCAGTTCGGGAACCCAGGTGTTCAGGCACCCGAGTATTGAAGTGACACGTAATCAACTCCAAAAGCTTCTCAGCGGACGAGATCATGTCGCGTAACAGTAGGCCTTATCCTCTCTTTGCCTGGATCGAAAGGTAACGATAGACTTCATTAACGGATACGTTGCTCTCCTTCTAAAGCGGAACGGAACCCATCTACGTGGGCTGAGGATCCTGAAGCCGTTTTGTGAGACCCACGGCAACTCAACTATATAAGGGCATCGACCCCCAAGACCCAAGTACGTGCGATTAAGTGCATTCTAGCTCTCCTATTTCTCAAACTCTCAGCTCGCATATCATAGTTGTTGACTTAAGCATCAGAGCGACCTCGCCGGATTAGCCACCCCGGGTTCTCTGGTCCTCTTTTTCCTTGCAATTCAAGCGACTTACTTGGCAACAGACGTCCGAACTGCCCTATAGCTAGGAGCATCCAGATCTTGCACCATCAAGTTGGTTATGAATGGTGTGTTGGTGGAGGAGGTAGACTGAATGAAAAGCCATATTGTGGAGTTTTATGAGAACCTTTACAAGGAAGAGTGGGTTAACAGGCCAAAACTTGATGGCCTGGAGTTTGATGGCCTCTCAGAGGAGCAAGCTGCAGATCTGGATAGAGAGTTTGAAAAAAGGGAATTTGGGAGGCTTTAAAAGAGACGGAAGGAGATAAGGCTCTAGGTCATTACATCTAACCGATTTTTTAAATCACATGATTTTTTGTTTTTTTCATGAAAAATATCTAAAAAAGTAATTGGATAGAATAGTTTCAACTTTGTTAACTGATAGTATGAGAATAAAATCCGGATAAATACAAATACCTATTACAGGTAGAAAAATAGAGATCGAAACAAATAATTCTCGTGGCCCAGAATCAAGAAAAAAAAAAGATTTTAAGGCATTGAATAACTTGTATCCATAGAACATATGGCGTAACATAGATAATGAATAAATAGGAGTTAATATTATTCCAATTGTCATTACAAAAGTAATTAGTATTTTTTGCATTAAAAGATACTTTGGACCAGTAATTATTCTAAAAAATACTATCAATTCTGCAACAAAGCCACTCATTCCTGGCAATGCAAGAGAAGCCATCGAGAAGTTATTGAACATCGTAAATATTTTTGGCATTGGGATAGCAATTCCTCCCATTTCATCGAGATAAACAAGATGTATTCTATCGTAACCCGTTCCTACCAAGAAAAAAAGTGCAGCACCAATAAATCCATAAGAGATTATTTGTAAAATAGCTCCATTAAGGCCCTTATCAGTTATGGAAGCAATTCCTATAATTGTGAAACCCATATGAGATACCGAGGAATAAGCTATTCTCTTTTTTAAATTGCGTCGACCGGGAATGAATTTATATGAGGTGAACAATTGCTGCCCTGAATCAGTGGCAGATTTTGCGAAGAGTTGGAGAGTCAAAGGTCGAGGGCAAATTGGCTTGGAATTGACTCCTGCTGCGGTTTTCTGATGCATATGGTATGGTAGGAGAGGAACGCAAGGATATTCAAGAACCAACACAGCTCCTCAGATACAGTATTTCAGAAAGTTATGGGAAAAATGTTTTCCTAATTTGCAGTAAACAATGTTTTTGAGGACAGAAATTTTAATTCCTTTTTTGCGGTTGGGAATCTTTTTGTAAATCAGAGTTTGGGGGTTTAGTTCTGCTGGTGCAGTTTTTGTAAATCCCTGTGTACACCTCCGTGTTGTACATATTTTGTCTTAATGAAATTCTTACTTTACCTATTTCAAAAAAAAAAATTAGACGTCACCTCTCTCTCTCCCTCCATGGCAAATTCCAAGGAAGATTCTCCATCTCAGAAGATGTCCTTTGCTACTATTCTCTCTCTCCGATTGCCAAACCCTCTCTACAAGTTCTGGTGATATTCCCACTTTGAAACAGGAAGAGCCTGCAGTGCGTTTCCTAAAGAAGTTCTGTATCAATCCTATGATGTTTTCAAATTGGTGTTGATAGGTAAGTGTGTATGGAAGGCCTTCTCTGCCTGAACTTAAAGATTTTATTTGTAAATCTTTTGCTCTGAAAACTGATATTTGGGTGACTGCTTTGGATTCAAAGCACATTTTAATCCGATTCGCGAAGGAGGAGAATTATCTAAAGATGTGGTTTAGAGAAGTTTTTCGAATTAAATCTGTTTTAGTTCATCTATTCCTAACTTTGAACCTGGTTGGGAGCCTAGCAAGTGCCAATATGGATTAATCTCCCCTTCTTGCCTGTCAATTCTTATGTAGAAGGATAAGATTTGCTTATATTTTGCAATGGGTTCCTAGTAAGGTTCAAAGTATCAATACGATTTACACCGTATCATATCTTTTGGTCTCGATACACCTATTTACAGGTGTTTTGAGACCCATTAATTTCAATAAAAAAAAATTTAAAAACATTTCCAAAAATCAAGTTTTGAAAAGAAAAAAAAAACATTAAGCAGTTGTTTTTTTTGTACCAATACACGGGCGTATCGGTACTTTGAACCTTGGTTCCTAAATCAGCAAACAGCCTAGCTAAGCATTTAGCTCAACACGGGTTAATAGAGGGAATTGCTTTTGGGCAGTTGCAACAGTATGAAAAGGATTCTGTTGTTATCCTAAGATCATAGGGTAGCCAAGGCTACTCATAATATTGTATAATTCTCTTCTGATTTAATAAAAGTCTTCATTATGTTGCTGATCAAAAAAAAATTGTGTAGAAGGATTGTTTAGATCCATTTCTCAAGCTATTGTACTGAAGTTTGATCTAACCACCATCACCTTATCAAGAACAATAGCGGATAGGGTTTGTGTTGAATAAGACCTTAAATTACATGCCAAACAAGTCTGGATTGGATTTAGGAGTGAAGGTTCTTCGTAGAATATGAGAACCTTCCTGCATATTGTGAGACTTGCTTCAAGGTCAGTCATGCTAATGTTGATTGTAAGCATGGTACGGAAAAAAGGATTCCACCAAGATGGCGGCTAATATTTTTACAGAGAAAGAAAAAAAAAAGAAAACAATGGTGCAACTACATCTGTTGTTTCTTAAGACTGGGTTCTGGTTCGTGATCCAAGAAAAGGGAAGGTTGTTTCTTAAGGAGATTTACCGACTTTTGATGATGTTTTAAAACCTACATCTGTTGAGCTTTGTACAAGAAAAGAGTAGGGATTCTCCTGTTATTGAAGTCCTTGAGGTTGATAAGAAAACCTGGCTTGTGTTCCGAAACGTGATCCAGATATGGCTCAAAAGGATAGCTGGAATGATGTTTGACAAAATTCCAATATAGATTCTGAGAAAAAACATGAAGTTCAAACGGTGATGAAAGGTAAAATCTCTTTATCCCCATAGTAAATCAATGGAGCCTGAATGACATGGAGATTGGAATTAATGAACAACTGCATGGTCTCTTTAACTTTTCATAAAAATTTAGAGCACATAATCATAGTTCCCCCAAAACAAGTCACAATGGTGAGAATCCGATTGAGAATGGTGTTTCAAAGGAAAACAATAAACCAAATACAAAATGGGTGACAATGGAGAAAAAGAAAAAGAACCGTGGTCCAAGTTCGAAGGTCAGCAAGGAAAAACAAGGGTTATCACCCAATATACTTCTTATATTTTTGTTTTACTTAATTTTTTGGGTGGTTTTAGAGCAAACTTGCTCCTGATGTACTCTTGAGGGTGGGATGGTGAAAAAGAAAAAGAACCGTAAATCTAAAAATGTTCAACTGTTCAAGAGACGGACCAAGTTCGAAGGTCAGCGAGGAAAAACAAGGGTCTTCACCCCAGTATACTTCTTAAATTCTTGTTTTACTTAATTTTTTGGGTGGTTTTAGAGCAAATTTGCTCCTGATGTACTCTTGAGGGTGAGGTCACTTGCCCCCCCCCCCTTTTATTCAGTCTTGCATCAATGAACTTTTGTTCAAAGATTGAATAAAAGTTCGTGCACCTGTTCATTTAGGCAATTAGACCGCATCTGATTTAGCCATATCAAGTCATATGCAAAGTTTCTTTACTGGCAAAGTCTTTACATCTAATATAGACACCAAGACCAAAAAGAAGGGTTCGAGATTTCTCTGATCCAACCACAACCACAAAAACACAATAATCTCGAAGACTACATCATGAAAACCATACCTATTAAAATCTTTTTTTTTTATTCTTCATCAATACAAACAAGAATTCAGAGATAGCAAAAATTTAACAATTCTCATGAACCAAGCACTTTCCATGATTGTGGAAGATTGGTGAAAGCAGCCTCATATGAAAATTTGAACTTACAAAACCCCAAGACTCAACAAGAAGGGAAAAAAGGAAAAGGGAAAAAAAACTAATACAAAGGATACAAATACTACAACCCAAATAAGCATATATAAAACACCTGGAATATGGTACTAATAACAATTAGATTTACAATAAACATCAAGACCACCAAAACCATAGAAATAACTTAAAGCAAAGGAAAAAAGACCCCCCCCCCTCCCCCGGTGCCACAAAACCATCCGAACTTTGAAGCACACTTCCATTCCCTCTCCATTGGTTCATATCTTCTTTTCTTCATTTCTACATGAATTTTACATTGTTGCTGACCAACCATTTAAGCCTTAAAATAGCCAAAGATGCGTGCAGAAAACTTCTAATTTGGCTGGATCAGTTCACATGGTCCTCAACCAGAATGAAACCAAATTACTCCCCATAAGTTAACAGGCTGTAACAGCAAAAAGCTGACCCTAAATGCCATCAGAAAACCTTTGGCTTTGCAGCTATCCAAATGGGTTCCCCCCTACAGAAGGAAAAGAATTTTGTCTTGCAGGTTGCGAGTATGTTCCAGTCATTAGCTGATCTTTACTTAAGGTACTAAAACCAGCTCCATCACTGCTAAATCCTCCAACTCCTTGATGTCTGCAGAATTACTTAAAGAATTAAGTTTCTTGTATAAATCTTTTGATCAATAAATTTTTTACAATGCTACAGAAAAAAAAAAAAAAAAAACCAAAAGAGGAACAAACAGATAAAATTTCTTTGTCATTCCACAAGTATTCAATATGTTCTCCATAATTTAAAAGAAAAATAAATAAATAAAAGTACGCCAAACAAGTACATACCCAAAAGGCAACATGTTATTAGGTGCTTGTTGCCCCATATATGTACCTGAGATGGATTAAATCAAATACAAGAAAGACTGAAGACCCAGTTTATAAACCATGGGAACATAATGAAAGAAAAAAAGAACTAAAGATTATAATAAAAAAAATAGAAATATGATTTTACTTGGAAGCGTTGCTGCTGCATAAGATTGTGATTGGGGAGGCACCCAACGTGGAGGAGTACCAAGACTACCAAGGCTTGTGGTGCGCAATAGGCCAGAAGGTGGTGCCATGTGTGGCAGTGCCCCTTGAAGAGATGACATTGACGGAAACTACATCATAAGAAAAAGAAATTTATAAAAGGATAAACAAATCTGTCTCAAATTCAAAGAGCATCAAAAAGACTATACAAACACATCCAGTAATCACAATATCATATTAAACAATTGAACAATTGAAACAAAATAATCAATAAAAACCAGAATTACTTTATACAGTATTAATTTAATAATATAACTATATTGGGTTAAGGCTTTGTTTTTTTATCAGCATTGATTTAAGGCTTCGTTGAGCTTCTTTTTTTTTTTTTGTGGGGGGGGGGGGGAATAATCAGGGAGACATGTTTTGTCTTTTAGTGAATAAGCCATTAAGGAGGTTGTGAACTCCTAAATGGCTGGACCTGCAATTGGTTTGATTACAATAGCCTTTATTATCAGTAAAACAAGGCAGAAAAAATGGAGGAAGAGAGAAGGGAGAGAAGAGAGGGGAGAAGAGAAAATAAAGATTGGAGACCGAAAAAGAGTGCTGGCAGCGCCAGCTCTAATTAATATATAGGGTGACATATTAAAAAGTGCAAAAAGACAACAATCCCTTGCGGCACACACTATATAAATTATTTAACAATTCTAACACTCCCCCTCAAGTTGGGACATAAATGTCAATCACACCCTACTTGTCACACAAATCATTGTGCCACAAGTGATGGAGGCCCTTAGTGAAGATATCTGCAAGTTGTTCTTCTGAGCTAATATAGGGAGTGCACACTTCTCCATTCACAAGTTTCTCCCTAATAAAATGGTTGTCCACTTCAATGTGTTTTGTCCTGTCATGGAGGACTGGGTTGGCTGCAATATTGATGGTGGCTTTGTTGTCACAATAGAATGACATGGAATGGAACTGTTAACTGCAAAGCCCAATTGACCTAACAAGTTTTTATCCACATAATTTCAGCAACTCTATGGGACATAGCTCTATACTCTGCTTCAACATTGGACCTAGCCACCACATTGTTTTTTACTTCTCCAAGTGACTAAGTTTCCTCCCACAAAAGTACAATATTCACTAGTATATTTTCCGTCATCTACTACCCTTGCCCAGTCAGCATCTATATACACTTCAACTTTCAAATGCCCATGCTTCTGGAATAACAAACCAGCCCCTAGGAATGTATTGAGGTATCTAAGAATCCTCTTGGGATTATGCATAAACCAACTAAGGACACCCACAACATAAGCAATGTCAGGTTTGGTCATGGATGGATATAAAAATCTCCCTACAAGCCTCTCTAGAACTGCTTCAGATCTTTTATAGCCTCCCCCTGACTGTTACTCAGGTGATGATTAGGGTCAATGGGTGAATCAATTGGCTTCACTCCTAACTTGCTTGTGTCCTCTAATAGATCTAGGACATATTTCCTTTGAGAAATAAAGAAAACTTTTGTGATCAAGCAACTTCAATCTCAAGGAAATAACGTAAGGGACCCAAATCCTTCACCTCGAATAGAGTAGCTAAGAATTCCTTCAACTTTTGTATTTCAATTTTCCAATCACTTGTGATGTTTTCAATTTTTTTTTACTATTGAATGTATTTAGCATAACTCAATAAACCCTTTTGATGTTTTCACTTTTCACATAGGAATGTCAATAGATCAGGTTTAGTACTGGTTTGGTTCAACCTAACCCAACTAGTTAAAATAGGGTTACCAAACCCAACCCACCCACCCCAGGAATAGTACCACTATTCTTAGCAAAGGCTATATTTATATTTTTTCAATGTCATTATGAGAATGGACTAGGTTTAGTGTGTGTTAGTCACATCCTGAAACCCAATTAAGATTGACACAAACCCAACCCCAATAGAATTGGGTCAAGGTGGGTTTCTCCATGATTTAAATGGCACACCTCACATTAGCAATTTTTGTGTAGGGATTAAGAATTTAAGACCCTAACATGGACTTATTTGTGTTCGCCTTGAGGGGCTTGGTACAAAAGCAGCTCGTAGAATCAGGAATGAAAGATGTTTTACATCACATTAGCAATTTGAAGTAATGCAATTGGGACAAAAAAGGAGATTAAGGTCTTTACATGCATGAATATGTTTTATATGTTTGATTTTATTGTTAAATTTTCATTTGAATATGTTTACATGTTATGCTTATGTATTTTAGTTTTACATAACAAGTTTTTTAAAACATTTATTTTAAAATTTAAGTTTATAGTTTTAATTAATATTATGTTTAATATTTGTTTAACTTTTGCATTTTTTTATATTTTTGCACCTTGCGGTTTTAAAACACTAAACCAACCAATATCCAAGTCCCAAATTGTGAACTCTCATATTAAAGTAATCAATTGGCCAACTCCATACCATCTTCTCATCGAACAAATTGTCATATATATGGCACCTAGACATGACCATGCAAACATGCTTAAAAAGGTGGACATGTACTAGGTCATATAGGAAGGTGTTGATGACTACATTTCCTGAGGTTCAATACATAAAAATGGGGCAGCTATCAAGTTAATACACGCATACCATCCTGCATGTCTAGCTTGTCATGCCTTGTCTCCCACTCCCAGTCAATATGCCAAGTTTTGTTTCCTTTTTTTATTGTTAACAGTTAAAATTTTATTAATTTGTGACAGAAAGAATGATTTACATACAAAAAAAAGTCAGTTTTGCATGGGCTCTCCTAAATGGACGTGTCCATGTTGGACATGCATCCAAATCCAACACTAATACAACAGATTATTAAGGGCACTTTTAGGTAACATTTCTTTTTTTTTTTCATCTCCTAACTTATTTGACATAAATGGATGGCTAATGTACAAGATGAATGCCATTTTGTGCATCAAATGTTCTTGGTAACAATTGCAACATTTTATTCATCAAAAAAAAGAACCAATTCCAGTTCAACCCTTGTCTGGCTACTGCATCAGTGCATTGGCCAAACAACTTGGTGACCTCTATATCCAGTTGAAGGTTGTGCCCATTTCCCTTGCCAGCTGTCTCACTTCCCTCATAATGTATCAGTATTGCCAGGAACCTTGACCCCTATTCTTGAACCAGCCCATGACTACCAAAGAATCCCCCTTTCTTTTTATAAGTAAAAGATTCTTTAAATTTTCATTAAATCAGAAAAGATAAGCAACTGTTACAAACTTCCCCAATGGAGGCACAAGATGCAGCCTCACTTGTAAAGAAAAGACAGCACAAGAATTACAATTGAGCACAAAACAATTGATCCCCGGTTACCCCTTGCTTAGCTAATTACCAAAGAATTCCCTTCCACCACTATGATTCTGTAATTGAGAGATTTGCCCAAGGTCAGTCCCTGTAACACTGCTAGCAACTCACCTCGTGTTGAATCCCCAAACCTAATCCTGACTCCCAACTCCAGAGAAAACTACTAAAATGGCCCCATAGCTGTTGCCAAAAAAACCCACTTATAACAGAGTTTCTTTTTGAAGCAAAGGTAACTTTTTATTGAAGAAGAAAAAAACAGAAGTACATGAGAGGATGTACTGAAGCCAAGAGTGGCTTGGCAGGATTACAAAGGCAAACAACTGTTACTAAACAAGAAATCTCTAGAGACCCCTTATTTTGCTAGGATATCAGCAACAGAATTTTGCTCCCTAGGAATCCAGACCAGCTTCACATTCATAGAGCCTAAGATATCCCTGGCTTCAGCTAAGAAGTGGGCTAGTCTCCAGGGCCCTCCCTTCTCCTGTAACCAAGCTATAGTATTTGCAGAATCCCCTTTAATGGTTAAAGAGGATAAACCTAGCCATTTGGCAAAGTGAATTCCTTTGAGTGCAGCCAATACCTCTTCCTTTGTGGCATCTGCCCTCCCAATCGGACCACTGTAAGCCCAGCAAATATTCCCCTTTCCCCTCGGATTACACCTCCATTTCCTGCTTGACCTGTGGATCCTTGGGCGCTACCATCAAAGTTTAGAGTCATTTCTCCTTCTCTAAGAGCCTGTCTCATAGTCCACTCAGATCTTGGAGAGGAGTGTAGGATTTCTGGAAGGTTACTCTGGAGATCATTTAGGGAGAGACCTTTGAACACTTCAGAGTTGATTACCCAAAGGTTGCATAGATATGTGATGTAGGAAGTTGGATCTTCAACATTTCTAGCTTTATTTTCAAAAGTTCTATTGTTCCTTTCTTCCCAAATGCCCCACAAGACTGCATGGGTCACTGTATTCCAGTAAAATCTTCCTCTTTTTCCTAGCCCTCTGCCTTGCCATTGCCACAAGATGTCCACCACCCTCTCCGGGAACACCCAGATGTAACCAACTAGATTTAGGAAGAAGTACCAAATCTTCCTAGTGACCGGGAAATGGAGAAGGATGTGATCAGTTGTCTCCCCATCGTCAAGACAAAGAGGACAGTCATGAGGGGAGATGCATAATCTGCCTTTAAACTTTTTCTGAATCAACTCGGAGGTGTTTATTTTCTTTAAACAGGCTTCCCACACAAAGAAAGAGACTCTACGGGGAGATGTGTGATTTCTAGACTTTCTTAGCCAGAAAGGGAGGCCTCTGATCTTCTGACACTAGAGCCTTGAAAAAGGAGTGAGTGGAGAACTTGCCGGCAGGATTAAGTATCCAGATTCTCTGGTCAGGGGTAGCAAGAGAGATGTAAGCCTCATTAAGAGAGTTTAGCAAACTAGCTATATCAGCAATTTCTATTTCTCTTAAAGGCCTTCTAAGGTTTAGGTTCCAAATTGTTCCCGAGGGTGGGGGGTTGAGGCTAGAGGCTACCGTGGCTTCTTTGGATTGGGGCAGGTTAAAGATCCTAGGATAGGAGTTAACAAGGGTGTCCTCTCCCCACCACAAATCAGTCCAAAATTTGATTCTATTTGCGTTCCCCACCTGATATCTACCAGAATCAAAAAAAAGGTTATAGATAGAAGCAATACCTTTCCAAGGGTTAGAGGCTTTGGCCCGGTTCAAGTGAACCTTGCTATCCCAACCATTGGCATGTCTCCCATACTTGCTCTTGATGATTTTTGTCCACAACACTTCCATCTCCAAGGGATACCTCCAAAGCCATTTTCCAAGAAGGGCCAAGTTCCTTTCTTTGATATGACCTAGTCCCAATCCACCAACTTCCTTTGGCTTGCAAACCTGATTCCAGCCTACTAGATGACACTTCTTTTCACCACCCCCTTCCCATAGAAAATCCCGTTGTAGCTTTTTAATCTTGCTTTTTACTTTGCCTGGGACTCAGAAGCAGACAAGAAGTAGATTGAAAGGTTGGCAAGGGAAGTCTTATTAGTGTAAGTCTTCCACCTTTTGAAAGAAAGCTTTTCTTCCACGTGGCCAATCTTTTCTCATATTTTTCCACTACCGGGTCCCAAAAACTTTGACTTCTCAGGTTCCCACCAAGAGGCATTCCCAAATAGGCAATTGGGAGCCTCTCCAACTTACACCCCAACAGCTCCTTAAACCTATCCAATAGAAGGTCACCAACATTTAGGCCCACAATGCTGCTTTTAGTGTAATTAATTCTGAGTCCAGTCACCATCTCAAACATATTTAACACTCTTTTCAAGTCGGAGATGTTCTCCCAATCCGCCTCCAGGAAAAGGATGATGTCATCTGCAAACATCAAGTGAGAAACCGGGACTGCCTCCCTACCTATCTCGAATCCTTTAAGCAATTTTTTTTTATCAATAACAACAACCTTTCAGCAAATTTAACTCCCTCGCTTTTTGAATCAAGTAACTAAGTACATACATCTGCCACCAAAGTGAAGAGTAGTGGGGAGAGAGGGCACCCTTGTCTCAAGCCCCTGTTTGCATTAAAGTATCCAATAGGTTCACCATTAATCAGGACTGAAAACCAAGCAGAGCTTATGCACCCTTTAATCCATCTCATCCACCTTCTACTGAAACCTCTCAGACTTAGAATCTCTAATAAGCAATCCCAATCCACTTTGTCATAGGCCTTTTCAAGGTCCAACTTGATTACCACCCCTGCCTTGCCATTTTCTAGGATTTCCCAAACTGCATCCATCAAATTTAATGAATCTCTTGCTGATTTTTTTTCAAAAAATTAGTATTGTATTAATAACCTCTAACACCTTTAGGTTTTTTTTATCCGAATATACCACTTCACATATTTTAGAAGTGTGAACATTACAATATACTCTGAAAGTGTTCATGCAGCATTGGTGTGTCATATCAGATATATATCATCTCCTACATGGGTAGTTGGGTACACTAAGCATGAATCTAGATATGTAGGATATTAGGATTCAAGAATACAAAATCACTAGAAATACAAAATTAATGTGCATACCATTGGTCTTGGGGCTTGAACTACTGATGTATCATCGTTCAGGTCAAATGGATTGGTCGATTTCAGTAGATGTGGAAAAGTTGACACTGACTGTAATACATAATTATTTATAATTAAATGAGAAGCCATTCAATAAGCAAATTAAACAAGGAACTAGATAATCTGAAATATAGTTGTTGATTTGCTACATACCATTGCAGTAGGATATTGCATGCCGTATGCCATGCCACGAGGTGGAGCAGTTTGCCAACCAGAAACTGGTGCAGGAACTGATGAATAGGTTGTAGTAAAGAGGTCCTGTAGAGCATTCAACCTCTATTATTGCAAACAAATAATTTTAAATTCGTACTTAACAAAAAAACCCACAAAAATAAGAAATGAAATAACAATTAAACAATATAACAGAAATCTATTACCTCTGGAAGTTCTTTTCTTCCACTAGACTTTGTTTCCACATGGGAAGGTTGTGATGTAACCACCGAACTGGTATCTTGGGTTGACGGTGCCTGAGATGGCTGTAGGGTATGAGCACCAGTCAAAGGCACTGGTGCATTTGATTGTACAGAGGGCATATTTGGTAGAGTGGATGTTCGCACAAGTGAAGAACTCCATGGCTACAAAAGTTCAAAGAAAACAACTATAAGAACTACTGTATCTGTGAAAAAACAAGACAGGAAAATACACCTTATATGTCTCACTTGATTGTTTGAAACTTCAGAAACTGATCGAACCAACTGCTGAACAGTAGACTGACTATCATTGGCAGTAAATAAAGAAGGCTGATGCTGCTGCATTCCTGGCCACTGCCCTCCAATCGGAGTAAACATTGATGTCATGCCTCCAGGTGCAGCAGTGGGAGCACTACCACTCACAGATAACATTGATAGGTCGTCAACTGAAACAGCTGCAGGAGAACCACCACTGGGTGATGTTGTTGTCTGACCCAAAGATGCAACTGGATTACCAGCACTTACTGGGAACATGTTGCCTACAGGAACAGTTTTTGGGCCAGCACCACTTGAGGGCAATGTTGGAATATTACCTAAAGGTGGAGCTGCTGGAGCTGACAGTTGTGAGAACACAGATTCTAGAGTGTCCACATTTGAAGGGGGCTGAGACACCTTTTCTTGTGTGGCAAAATCAAAAGAAGCCCAGTTGTCATCAGTGGATGAAATTAGTGGTGGTTGTGTAACAGTTTGACTTGTGGGTGATGTAGTTGATTGTGCTTGTGTTGGTGATACAGCTACTGCTACATCAAGAGGTACAAGATCAGCATTGAAATCAATCAAGCTTCCAGAATTTGCCCTTTTAAGTTCAACTGAATTCCCATCAACAGATGCCAGGCTACTGGAAGAAGCAGTCCTCTGCAATCATAACCATTGAAACATTATTTTGGTAAGAAAATAGCAAAATGTAATTATTATCCAAGTAAAAGAGAAGAAGGAATCAAGAAAAGAGAAGAGGAAGAGAGAGAAATTTTGAGGCTCAAAAATTTAGGCTGGTGGTGTTAGTTTATTACTTATACTAGGGTAACAGTGGCTTTACATAATATATAAAATGAGACAAAAACACCATAATGTCCTTGCAGCACTAATACAAGGATTACAACACTCCCCCTTACGTTGGGTCATACACATCAATCATGCCTAACTTGTCACATAATTCACTGTGACACAAACTATTCAGCCCTTTTGTGAGGATATCAACACGCTGTTCTTTTGAATTGACAATAGGGAGTACAAACTTCTTTTTCGAGCTTTTACTTGATGAAGTGTTTATCAACTTCAATGTGTTCGGTCCTGTCATGCAAAACTGGACTAGCAGCTATGTTAATAGCCACCTTATTGTGACAATAAAGTGACATAGGACCATCCACCACAAATTCCAGTTCACCTGGCAAGTTTTTTATCCATAGGATTTCATCAACTCCATGTGACATGGCCTTGTATTCTGCTTCTGCACTGGATCTGGCCAGCACACTTTGCTTTTTGCTCTTCCATGTAACTAAATTACCTTGACTTCCTATCATCAACTGACCCAGCCCAGTCTGCATTCGTGTAGGCTTCTACTCTTATGTGTCCATGCTTTGCAAACAATAAACCCTTCTCTAAATGTTTCTTCAAGTACCTAACCCTCTCTGCAGACTCAAAATGGGAGGTCCTAGATAAATGTATATACTGACTAGAACCCCTACTGCATAGACAATGTCAGGCTGAGTCTTTGACAAATATAAGTCTCTCTCTACCAATCTATAGAACTACTTGGCATCAGATACAAACTCACCATCACTATCACTTGCTCTATGGTTCACCTCAATAGGAGTGTCAACTGACTTTACCCCCGACCTGTCAGTATCTTGGAGAAGTCTAGAGTGTACTTAATTTTGACAAGTCATCAATAAAACTGATAAAGTATTTAAAGCCACCCTCAAAAGTCACAGATGTTGGGCTCATACATTAAAATACACAACATGGAAAAGGACATTTGCTCTTTTATTACTTAAAGAAAATGAGGTCCTACAATGCTTCCTCAGTTGACATGTCTCAACACTATAAAGTAGAAACTGAAACAAACTTAAAAACAGTGGGAGTAAAATCTTCAAGAACTCAAAGGACAAATGACCAAGGCAGTTATGCCACAAAAAAATACTTGACTCTTATCGGACTGACTCATGTAATTAGTGGGGCTTAAAAGCTACAACACCAACTTTATTCTCTAGAACATACAGACCATCAACCATGCTTCCTCTACCAATCATCTTTCCATAGGTCAAATCCATTGGACTGACTCATGTAACTAGTGGACTCAAAAGCTGCAACACCAACTTTATTCTCTAAAACATAGAGACTACCAACCATGCTTCCTCTACCAATCATCTTTCCATAGGTCAAATCCTAGAACACACAAAAGTGAAGAAAAAAGGTTGCACAACAATTCAACGATTTTGTAATACTACTGATGAATAACAAATTTATGAGAAGTTTTAGAACATAAAGAATATTAGTGAGAGCAAGGCCAAGAGGCAGAGATATAGATCCTGACAAGCAATGGTTGAGACAGATCCATCTACTGCTCTTATCCCTACCAAAGAGCAAACTATATGAATGGAAAATGTTAGACCGACCATTCATATCATTTAAAGCCCCCGAGTCAATGATCCAAGGGGACTCAAGAGCATGGGTGGGCACATGGAAAACAGGAACAATACTACATGTTGTATACGTAGAACAGCTAGGAGTAGAGCCACCACCATCCATCTAAAACAAAGCTCTCCCATACAGAGTTCCTTATGCTCACAGAAAGCATTAATGGTATTCCCCTTTGGATCAGAACCAGTAGAGTGCTCATGAGAAGAATCAGTGGTCATACTATTCGTGTGAGACTCTTAAGATGTTGCGTTGGCTGCATTATACTTCTTGGGGGCTTGCTTCTTGGAGGGTTTTTTTGGTCTTCCGATAAGACTCACAGGTGTGTCTAGGGCGCTGACAATGGATGCACCACGACCCACAACTTGTCTTTCTCATCACCTTATGGATTCCTATGAGATTCATTCTTCTTCACCCCCACTACTTCCACTATTTATAGCTAAACTATTTGCTCCCCCCAATAGGATTCATGGCATTTTTCCTATTCGATTCTAATTGGACTAGAGCATGCACTTCTTGTACTCAAGGCAATTCCCTGCTGCCATGGTTTAAAGTATCGATACGATACGCCCCATATCAGGTGTATCGTATCGTATCTTTTGAAAACGATACGATCCGAAACGCCTGATTCCAGGGGTTTCGGAACCCCAATTTTTTTTAATTAAAAAAACATGTTTTTAGCTTCCCAAAAAACCAAACTTTGAAAAAAAAACTAAAAAAATAAAGAGTTTCGGGCGTTTCTAAGTACCGATACGATACTGCTGAAACGCGTATCATATCGATACTTTGAACCTTGCCTGCTGCCCAAAATCTGAAGCATGATGGGCTCATATACTAGATTCAATCCCAAGAGGAAAGCAAAGACCCTAAACTAAGATACTCATAATCATCATCCAAGCCTTATCCTAACTATATGGGGTTAACTATATGAATCCTATTTTGCTAGTCCATTCTATTAAATTATTGGTGCTTAAATTATTTCTTACTACTATCCATGTCCTTTTTGTCTACCCCTTTCTCTTCTAGCCCCTTTCAACTTGTAACAAATCACTTCTTAGGGGTTAGTAATAGTGACTCAATAGTGTCACTATTGAGTGTTGTTCCAAGTCCGCATTGCTTGGGAAAGGTAATGAAGGCCCTGCCTTCTATAAAAGGATAAGCAAGCCAAGCCAAGCCAAGTCTTGGAATTAAATGAGGTCATACCTTTTTTTGTGCCATAGACCCAAAGCCTAGCCAAGCCCGGCCTAGCATGGGCTTGTGCAATATTTTCTTCATGTATACATCATTTAATTTAAAATTTTCTAAATAATTATTTTTTTATTGTACACTTATCATAGGTGCTAAAGCCCACCCAGGCCCAGTCCATGATCACCACTAACTAGAATCAACACCAGGAAGAATAAATTTTTATTGTACACTTCATGTATACATCAGCACCTTCAATATGTTAAAATCACTCCAACAGCAGTAGGATAAAACACTTTATTCATTACTATCTCTATAGGCCTTACATAGATTCAAAAAGGAGGGTAGGCCAACACTTTTCCCTTGTTTTCTACTACAAAACCAACTAAGAAATGCTACTAACAAAATAGCTAGGAATAGGACAAATACTTGTTGGCTAAGGACTAGGACTTTTGACTTAAAACTAGGAAGAGACAGATCCTACTTTATAACTATAATGTTGCCCTACTAACATAAATTTAACTAGCCAACATAACTCCTAAACTAATTAGGAAACAAATTGATGCAGGACCCACCCAAAAAGTAGCTAATTGTATTATCCTATATTTTTTTCGAAGATAATTGATAAAATAAACTTTATTATGAAAAAAGAAAGAGAGGATACAACAGGGTGATAAGAAATCACCTAGCAAAAAGACCCACCCTAACATCCTATATCAATTTGGGAGATTAATGAAGTCCATCCAATTTTAAAAGTTTAAAGAGGAAGGAATTCAAGCAAAGTTCTAATGTTAAATAAAAGGTTATAAATTATAAGCAATCTTACAAAGTAAATGGGGTTGAGAGCATTTTTATTTCAAAAAGGGATGCAGAAGATTCAATTGGTTGTTGCTATGGCATGCCATCCAATTAAAATTTCGAACACCAAGGACTCAATTAGAACAACAAATTTCAATTTTCTACATCCTCATCCTTCTTCTGGCTTGAATTGGAATTTGGGTTTCACTAGGAATCTCAAAGAGTCAGAAATCCCCTTCGTGTCTAACTTGCTGAGAGTCTTGGAGTCTGTAGTCCTTATTGATGATGGGAGAGATGCTCAGTGGTAGTCCCTTAACCCTGATGGGAAATTTTCTTGTAAGTCTTGTTTTTTAACTCCCTTATTTCCACTCCCTCTCCCCCACCTTGCCTATAAAAGAAATTTGGTGCTTCCCTATTCCTCCGAAGGTCAGTGCATTTTGCCAGGAAATGTTCCATGGGTGCATTAATACTTGTGTTTTTTTTTATATTATTAATACTTGTGATTTGCTACAATGGAAAGGACCAAATTGGGCCTTGCCCCCCAATTGGTGCTTCATGTATAAATTGAATGATGAGACTGCCTTCCACCTCTTAATTCCTGCCTTTTTGTTTGTTGTATTTGGGAATGGTTTTCTTCTCTTTTTGGTTGCAGGTGGAACCCTCCTGCCAGTTTGGATGGGTTGTTCAGCCCTTCTGTTTTGAAAAGCACAAAAAAAGAGGTGGGATTTTGTGGAGATGTACAAGGGCAGCGGTATTGTGGACAATGTGGGAACAAAGAAACACAAGAATCTTTGAAGAGGAGAGAAGCTTGGCAGAGGTGATTGAATCCACTACTCTTAAAGTTTCACATTGGGTGAAAACCTTGAAACTTTCTTCAAACTTTAAAGTGGAGGACTTTTTCCAGAATTGGGGGGCAATTGCTGGCTCTTCCTCTAGAAAACAAAAATCTTTAGAGATTTGGTCACCCCTTGTGGCTGGTTGGAAGAAGTTGAACTTTGATGGTAGTAGTGTGGGTAACTCAAGCTCCTCAGGTATTGGAGGGTTATTAGGGATGATGGTGCCATTATTTGTGCATTGTTTTTAGGCCCAATTGAGCAAGGTGACTCGGTGAAAGCAGAATTTATGGCAGCAGTTTACAGGGTAGAGAAGGCCAAAGAACTGGGAATTGGTAATTTGATCATTGAAGGTGACTCAAAGATAGTTGCGGGATGGTTGGACAAAAGTGAGAGGGTGAC